TAGAGGTATGAGAATTTATTAGAGGACGAATCGAACCAACGAATAGCAATATAGAGTGGAGCTGCGAGAAAGCTTAAGAACGAAGGCAAGAGGGTTTTTTTAAACCGCGAGCCGCGTTGTCATAGTCTTTCAGATGTTTTTTCTAATTCTTGATATACGTAATGTATATATATCTCACACACGAGTATACGTAACATACATGAAGAAGCGGATATATATATATAGTATTTATTAACGTCACGACTTTTACCGTAACAAAAAAAAAAAAAAAAAGAAAAAACAGAAAAAAAAAGAAAGAAAGAAGGAAACTGCAAAGACTTATTAGCATTTAAGTCACGCATTCGACCAGATTAGAATAGTATTTTTCTACTTGAAAACTCGAGAAAAATCAGGAAGACAGTGCACGATGTATCCCCGGGCTGTTTTCACGCCGAGGGAGAAATCGATTCTTCGCGAACGCGCCACGCGTGTCGCGCCAGCATTATATAGCGAAAAATTTCGGGGAAAACGAGAAACGAAGAAAAGAAGTCGGCCATAGAGCGGAATGCGTCGCGACACACCATTACAGGAAAAATGAATCGAACGATAGATAGAAAGAAAGATGGCCTAGGGTTTGCGGCGTTCTTTCCACACAAGGTGAATAGAAAATCTCGAAGCGATTTTTCTCTTCCTCGAATCGATTCGACCCGCGTCGAGAGACGACGAGAAATCAAAACGGACAATCAAGCTTAGACGCGTTACGCTCGCGGAAACCGAATCGATGCGCGCTAATTACCTTAGAGTTTACGCTGACAATCGCGATAAATTGAGCTTCGCACAAGCACGTGACCATACACATTTGCACAAACGTACACACCACTTCGGTATACGAGAGAGAGAGAGAGAGAGAGAGAGAGAGAGGCCAGAGTGAAAATGAAATGAGAAAATGTATGTGACGTACACAAACATACACGCATATACAAGCACACACGCGACACACATACACACACCAAAGTGTGTGACCTCCATCGCACTAACAAATGCTAACAATTGTCAGAATCAGGGAAAGGGGTGCTCCACCCCCACCCCCACCCGCCTCGTCGACATCCTCCAACGTGCATTTGAGAAAAAGGTAAAAAATCAAGAACTGCTTTCAGTCGACCAAAAAGTAAAAGAAAAAAGAAAAAAAAAAAAAAAATAAAGAAAGTACAGAGTGAACGAGGAGCAATAAGGCAAGAAAAGAAAAAAAAAAATCAATGCTTCGAGATGCTCCTTAATCAGAGATTTTCCTCGTCCGTGTATATGTGAGAATCGCAGAAATATCCCTACTCCCCCAATCGCATTATAATTTCTGGCCTTTTTGCCAATGATGTTAATCAATGTTTTGAAACCTGTATTACGGATCGTTCGGAGTCGACAATTGAAGGAAGGTACGAGTGGTACGAATACTTCTGCGATTCACTGTACACGCGTGCGTGTGCGTTCGATTCCGTTGCCTTCTTGCTCCATTTGCTTCGTTCAAATCACCACCGAGTACTGCTGCCACGTAGACAGCATTTGCTCTGCTTGTATCCTATTAGTTGGTATCGCACTGCTTGCTTTCATACGCACCATTATCCATTCACGTTCTAACGTAACACACCGATCCAGCTGATCTCTCACACTCTGTGTATATCATCAACGTATATCACACCGTCATATAGTAACTCTCATTACCGTCATTAGCAACTCTCACTCTCATTTCACCATCGATCACCAAACCAATCGCTAGCAACTCCAGGCTCGAGTTTTCCACGATCTTGCCACGCGTGATCCTCGTGATTCAATCGACTTTTCCACACGTGCGAGCAAAAAATGTTTTTCGCTCTTCACGCTGGCTACGTACGATCGATACGACGTGAAGGATACGTGTTCAGGCGCGGTCGTGAAAAGTTGTCGAGCCTCGATCGGGAAATTGTACATAAAAGATATTTTACCGAACCCTCTTTTCTATAAGATCCGTTTTTATACCGTATTCACCCGTAAATCCGCCCGTAAGAAGTCTGTTAAGTAAATAATGGAATTACTTCTCCTGGAAATGAACAGTAGAACCTCTGATTACTCGATTTCTGGATCACATTCTCTCTCTGACCCTAACCAGTCACCTATTTATTCCGAATTTTTGATATCTGCTCGCAGAGTGTCTCTCACGTCTGAATACGTACCGTAGACCCGGATTTCTTTACGAAAATGTTAAATCTTTGCGCCGCGTTCATAAGTTCACGACTCTCTGCGAGCACGAGAATCAAAAAACGTCTATATATGTTTTTGCTAACTGATGGACATTAGTGTACATATATTTGATATACACGTATAGCTCCCCATGTGTGAACAGAGAGGGCCATGTATTTACGAGTGTGGCTGTTTCGATGATCGGTGTAAGGCGCGATCGTCGAAAGGGCTGATCCCTCTTTACTAGAAATATTTCAACAATAGAATCCGTGATGAACTTGAAATTGTTCTCTATACTTCGAACGTGGAAGAATGAAAGCATTCCCTTAGAGTTTGGTTCACGTTCAAGTGATAGGCTTTGATCTTTTTTTTCAATCTGTTAACTTCTTGCAGGATAATTTTAAATTTTCTTTATATCTTAATATTTGTTTCATTCCTGCGTGAATATTGAAATTGACCTGCTTCCTATCAGACATGAATTGTCTTATTTTATTCATTTACTTTCCCGGTGTTCCAATTTCAAGATCATTAAAAGTTCCTAATAAAAGATTCTAATTTCACGGTCATGAAAAATTCATAGTTAATTCGGCCAGCAGGTTGGAACGCTTTCATTTTCCCACCCTGCCCTTAGAATCCAATCAACGGCCTGTAGAAAAGCTCGAACGAATTTCAGGTCTTTGGTTCCCCAAATAGTGTTCCCCCGTTGTGTCGCTGGCGAAAAGAACACGAGATTCTAACACGAGATTTTCGACAGGGGCACCAATCCACTGGCGCCGGACGCGGTGGACTTGACGCAGCTGACCTCGGTCAGCGAGTGGCTGGCTTCCATCAAGATGTCACGGTACGCGGAGAGCTTCGAGAGGTCCGGAGTGACTACCTTGGAGGCGGCCGCGCGTGTCACCGTTCAAGAGCTGACGGCCCTCGGCGTCACGTTGGTCGGACACCAGAAGAAGATAATGAACAGCGTGACGGCGCTCAGAGCGCAGATGTCCGCCACCTCGCAAGGCTTTCTCGTTTAAACCGCGTTGACGTTCGCGACCGACGCAGCGACATTCGATAGAGAATCAATCCCCCCCCCCCCATTGACCAGACGACGTTCGTCGTTCACTCGAGAAGCTCTCGCGTGTCGATCGCCCTTTGAAACCATGCTCCACGAAGGTACCGACGATCCAGCATCATCCTAGTCACAGGGCGATGGACGTTCACTTCTTCGAAGGGGACGTCCCCTTGCCTCGCGGACGCCCAAGGCCCAAGGAGCAGGATCAGGACAAAAGCATCGAAAGACGTCGGAAGAGCGACCAGCCTCCGGCCAGTCTCGAATAGATCGAGCGGCAACCGCATATCGCAGACATTCCAACGAGAGAAGAAAACAGAAGAAGAAAACGGAAACCTCGAGGTCCGTTCGAGTTCTCCCGCCTCCCTCGTCGGATGGAAGACGACGAGAAATTTCTGCGACCACTCGTCGGGAAACTCGTAGCTTAACTACGGAACGCGAATCTTCTTTCGAGAAACGACGAGTTTACGAGCGAGAAGTAACCCTTACGTAAATCGCTCGCGTAATCGTTTACGAACGATCGAGGAAGCTCTCGCGACGGGATCAACGCGCAAAGCTTATATACACGTATACACGCGACTCCGTTAGAACGAGAGTCGGCCATTGACATTGTCTTTCTCTTCTTCCTAGAAAATCTTTCTCGCGCGATCTCGCGCCGAAAGGAACTCGAACTGCCACTGTATTAATCACTGCCGTATGAAATTCACGCGTAGCGAGAAGCAATCGCGTTAATCCTATCTTAAAAACCCCGAAACATTTCGAAGCCTGGTTCACCGTGTCGAGACTGTTCTAACACGCTCAATTGTTGCTCACACGTACACTACATACATACACGAGACAACCGTTTACGTTTCTCATACAGCCCAAAAAACGTTTCAACTGCATTTCACTGTCAACGAAGCCGAACTCTATTATTTTACAGTTGTTCCTAAACTATATCGCGCGACGGTATCATTCGCGTCGAACGGTGATCGGGTCATTCAACGATTCATCATCGACACTTCATCGTCAAGTGTCGCTACGGTACAGACCAATTGCACGAACAAATAGACGGCCTAAAGTATTAACGACCCTTCCCCGAGCAGGTTGTCTCTTCGTTTCTTCCATCTATGCGAATGTTTCGGACAACGATTGATCGTATAAAACCGTAAACGACGATTCGAAAAGGTCTAATATGTACGTTTTAAGATGTGACGAGCGTAGATCGAAGAAGAAACGTGGAGGTCAACGTGTTGCTCACATTGCGAGCCTAACGCCGCATCTAACGTCATGTGCAGCGAATATTTTGTAGCTCTTATTAATAAAAGCTTAATCGATGTACAAACACACGACACACACTTTACACGACGCCCAGACACCAATCACACGCATGTAGGTATTATACGAGTATCGAGAAAACGTTGCCCACTCCGCCGCTCCGCTTTTGCGAAACGATCGAAGGAGCAACAGTAAAGATAAATAACGTGAGACTGAAAGAGAGAGAGAGAGAGAGAGAGAAAAGAAGAGCAAGATCATTCGGAACGAAGATTAAAGGAATGATACGAGAGGATACGATTCTTGCCTTCGCGTTATCTATATAAAGTATGTTGTATGCGCGATCTGTATAGGTACTCGTCGATTTAAAAAAAAATGGAAGAGAGAGCGAGAGCAAAGAAGCAGGAACATGTGCCAATAGAGAGAAAGAGAGAGAGAGAGAGAGAATGTGCGTGAACGGGGGAAAATGTTCTGCGTGAGAGGAACGGCGCACGCTACCGCGCGTAAAAAAAGAATGAGTCCGTATTATACGTATTAAAAGAGAGATAGATTATATTGTGCGTAACGCGAGACAGACTTGTCAGGAACGAATCGGATGGCCAACGAACGAACGTTTGAAGAATCGGAGGAAAGATAGCGAGGAGATCGGTGAAACGTGTCCCTCGACATCACGAACATATCAAGGAGTATTTAAAAAAAAAAAAAAAAA